GTATAATATTTCTTTCAAACACTCATAATCAAGACCCATGTTAAGTACCATCTTCAAAATATCCCCATGAGATAAATCAAACATTTCTTGGGTTATTGGTTCAATCACATCAACCCGATATAATGGAGAAATATCACTAGAGTACCTCGTTTCTTGTGAGCGGTATTCATGTAAGGTATTCCAAGGAGCATCATAGATAATTTGGAAGGAGTCTTCTCTTCAGGATCAATGATATAGAAATCTGCAGGAAAGACAAGTTGATTTACTTGTAATAGCACATCCTCCAACACTCCTCTTAGAAATACACTTGACTTGTCTGCTAGTTGAATGATTACTCTGGTTTCTTCCAAAGCTCCAACATTAAGATATTTAAAGATTGAATATGGCATCACATTGATTCAGGCTCCAAGGTTTAAGATGACACTTTCAACATGAAACTGACCAATATTTCAAAGGATAGCAAAAATTTCAGGATGTTTGCATTTAGGAGGTAGGTTCTTTTGGATAACCATAGAAACGTTTGCACTTACTTGAAACTTTTCATTTGCCTTTAATTTCCTCTTCTTGGTGCATAAATCCATGAGAAATTTTGCATAACTTGGAATTTGCTTAATAACATTCAATAATGGAATGTTGATTTGGACATTGCGGAAAGTTTCAAAGAATTCATTTTCTTCCTCTTTCTTCTTTGAAACGGATAACTGGGAAGGGAAGGGTGGTGGTATGTGTGACGTCCTCTAATTTTCAAAACCAATTAAATATTTTCTTTATGCTTTAAAAATCTTTTATTTATATTTGCGGAAAATCCCAGTACAAAATATCATTTTGAATACAAATGTTTGTTTCCAAAATGTTAAAATCCTAAGGATGTCATAATCAATACAGTTACATAAGTTACAACGTAAAGACCTGAAGGTCCTGAATACTATTGTGGGTTATCTCTTAATCTCTCAACATCCTAATCAAGTTCCACTAACTTAAACCTTGATACTTGTACTGCATATAAACTAAGTGGGTTATGTTTGGGAAACCTGGTGAGGTACATAGGGATTTCAATCCCACGATATTAATATGATAATATTCCTTAATTATCATACCCACACAACCAACCGTTAACATACTAAATGTATATAGGACATGAAAATATTATGTCGAAAATCAATTCAGCCAGCATAAGTAAAAATCAAAATCTTAAATTAACGAAAGAAATCTATAACATGATGCCTCTATGAAAAAGGCAAATTAGATATATCGACCTAAATAGGGAGAAAAAGTAATAAAATAGCAACAAACTTTATTTATTTTTGTACTATAGCATCCTACTTTTGTTTCTTTCTATTACAACGTTGTACTCTGAAAAATATACCCATTAATAGCAGTGTAACTTCAATTTTTTTTTTTTTTCTGATTATGAAATTTTCACCAATTATTGCTTTGTTTTCTCTTGTTTCCATAAGAATATGTTAATAAAATCGAACAAATAAATCAATTTGCATTCAATTACAAAATGGTACCTTAAAAATCTACCAAATTAATTATAGGATTGCACTTTCAATTATTTTCTTATTATAGCACCGAAATATGCAATCTACTTTCATATATTTTTGTATGTTAGAAATAGCAATGTACTTTCATATCATTGTACTTTTGATTCTCTATCCTTATTAGGACATTATACTTTGGAAACTTTATCAGAATTATAGCATTCTACTTTAGATTTTTTCTTATCACACCAGTGAATTTAGGTATATTTGTCAAACTACATTATTGTAATATAAAGAAAGAAAATTGGGATGCTATTATAAAGAAGTCAACGAAAAACATTGTTATCTCTTGCATTTAACCCAAAAAGGAAAATAGGTGACCAGTCGGACAATTTATCTTATGGGTCCGGGGGCAATTCAACCTGAAAATTGATCTGTTGGATCCCATTGAATGTGTCACTAAAAATTAGAGGGATAAAACTGTAATGAATGCCAAAAAATACATGTTTCAATATTACATATACTCATGATTAATATTTACTAATCTAATATTTAATAGATGTTAGTAAAACATTATCTTAGTTAGTTATTCTTATCTTTTACTTTCTATTATATTGGTTCATACATTATACATATCGACATCCTTGTTTATATAAGCTATTTTTTTATTGCATTATTTATATCAAATACTTATGCATCTATATCAAATATTTTTTATAAACATTTTTCATAAATTTACATCAAATTTTAAGACGATATCATAACTTTTGCTTAATGTATTATGTATGTATTGATAATTTTTGGCATGTAGCCTTTGAAATTAGATATTACCAAAGCAAATTTATTATGTATATAACATATATAAATTATAGATCATTAAATTGTTCATGCTTTGTACAAGGCATCCACATGTTCACTTTCTCGTGTGTATATTAAGTATTAACCAAACACCTAATTTATAGGACCTAATCAAGATTTCTGAAATATGTTGCCTTCTGATCAATGTATATAATCCTCTAAGGATCTTTGAATTCCTTTGCTTTCTACATTGCATGCTTGTTACTTGTTTAAATGTTGTATACCTATGCATGTTCCAGTGTGGAGTATATTCTTGCTAAGTATAAAGCAGAAGGCAGGACCATGAAAGGAGATAGCCAAGATTTAGTAAGCTTCAACTTCTTAATGAGCTACTTGACTTTCTTTGTCTTCTCAAGATATACAGAGTTAGTTTAAATGATTAATTATTTATCTAATGAGTTAGTGACTTAATGAGATGCATGTAAAGAGCTCCTACAGACAGTGGATAGGTAAACATGAACCAAATAATGTTAATTAAGAACATAATGATTAATGATACCTAACTTAGCACAGACTTGTTGAAGAGAATAATAGGGAAAAGCTCTCTACGCTTGAGATGACACAACTAGAAGAAGTTGTTGCTGCTCTTATGCAAATAAGATCAATAAAGGTGATTCATTTACCTACCTAGAAAGTTACTATTGTATTTTAGTTTTTGAATTACTTTCATATAGTACTTTATATGTTTTGCATTAGTCACTGATCATTACAATCTTATTATGATAGTGAGAAAAAGGTGAGACTTAAGAGGTCGCCTTTTAAAGTCCATATTGATTGTGATTTTGGTTGATGCAGACACAGTTGATGATGGTGTACCTATCCACCCTCCAACAAGCGGTATGTAAATATATACTACTTTGATTTTTTTTTCATACATGAACATAGATGTCCATCACATAGGTTCATGTATAATTTACAACACCACACTAAGATGCAACAATTTGACATACACATCTAAAATTTATTTTTATTGTGATCTGTTCTACATGAAGAAAATTTGAGTGTCTATTCATGATAAAGACCATTTTTGGGGAATTTGCATTAACTAAATGGGTTATCACCGCTTACATTTTTTGTGCTACAAAGTAAAATCATAAACATATATCTACACCCCTTATCCTGTTTATGTATGTTTAATTGTTTAGGCCATACTTCCTAATCATAAGAACTAATTAAGAACCTGGATAAACACAATATCAATCTAACCAAAATTTATCATTGTGATTGTGAACAGGAAATGAGTTTAATCAAAGAAAAGGAAGAACTCATACAACAAGTAAATCTATTGCCAGATTTTCTTTAGAAATTGATTCAACTTTCATTTGAGGATTTTTTTTTTTTTTCCTTTTAAGATTTGAAGGTGAAATAATCTAAGTTGCTAGAATTTAAAAGAACTCAATGCTTTGGCCTTGTTTTACCTTTTAAAATTAAAGGGGAGAAATTTGTCAATTATTTGGTTACCATTGATGACTAATAAATTATTAGTCGTTTTCAATCTTCTTTTACAAGTATTCTTTCATTGTAAATATCATATGAATTGAGAGTTGAAAGTATAATGAAATTGTAAAATTAAAGTAGAAATATAGACGGACTTACAGATTTATTTGAACGACCTTTTACTTAACCTGATGGATTTGCCCCAACATCAACATGTGACTCTCCCTCTTTTTATTACCTAATCCCATCCTCTTCCACCAACAATCTCAATTTCAATTTCATCAGATGGGAAATATAAATCCAATAATAATAATAATAATAATAATCCAATCAAGATTCCAAAATCTTGAGGTTTTACAACACTAAGTATGATCGATCCAACGCATGGTTTTGCCATTTGAACCTGATTCTATGTGGCTGTTAATAAGACTTACAAACCCGGATTGTATTTGTGTGAGTTTATATAATATTCTCTGTTTGTTTGTTTGTTTGTGTGAGTTTATTATAAAATGGGACAATAGTTTATACTTTATATATTGATTAAGGCCGTTTTTTTTTTAAGGTTTAACACTTCATCACCCTTTTCCTATTCACACCTGCATTTCCAATAACAAAGGATTAAAATATCCCATCTGCGGTTTAAAATATTTTCATTAACTTTGAGCTCTGAGATTTTTGAAGTTATAACAAAACAAAAACATGAACACAATTATTTAATTGTATACTTAGATTTGAAAATTTTATTTAAAATGGATAAGTATAAATGATATCCTTCACACGATTATAATAAGTAAAGTACGCATTAGTTCTTTTAAAACTATTATGCCATTGAAACAAAGAAATTTTAAAGTATGCATTAGTTCTTTTAAAAGTAATGCAAAATGAAATATAGAATTTGGGTTACCGCCTTATCTATTTTAAAATTTAAAAAAAAAAAAAAAAAAAAAAAAAAAAAGTTACATTGCGGATACTTTTTTAAGCACATAATTTACAATCATCATAAACTCCCATGATATTACATACAATTAATGTATCTTTTCATTCATAGGGCGAAATACAAACAAGTATATCGTTTCGTGATAAGGTCGGTTAATCGTACTTCACACCAAGCTCTATTTCGGTTACTTAGCTTGGAATGCAGCGAATAGTTACACACCAACACACAAACACACAAAAGCCAATTAAAAAACACTTTATTTATAATTAGGCAGTACTTATCGTTTAATTTCTTCTAAACATCTCGACTCTTTCGTTAGTGGCGTTACGTTCTTCGAGAATAAGCCGCTCTTTGAAAGATGAGATATAATTGGAAGCCCTTATATCAACCTTAGCATCGCCACCGCCGCCACTAGGTCCATGAACATAGTCGTCAGATCCACTGAATAAATTTGTGAGCTTCGTTAATGATGGAACCTTTTTCATGGAGGAAGGTGGGTAACTTGTCTTGTTGATGATGGCAGCACCACCACCATATGGAGCGGTGATTGGCAGCGGAGCTGGTGGCTTGGTGGTTTTGTAGAAGGTACTAACTAGCTTATTCTTCACGAACCCTGCAGCTCTTTGCTTAGAGTTTGTCTCCATTTAATTGTTGTGTTTTTGTTGTGAATGTTCAAATATGAAGGTTAGGGAATGATTTATAGGAGTATAAGTTATGTTGACTGTTGACCTTTTAGCTTTGTTCCTTGGTCTCCCAATGCTTTTATTAGATGCTAATTGGATAATATATTTTTTACTATGATGTATCGATCAAATATTACAATATTGAATGAAACCTAGATTCAAATAAACTAAGGACAACAAACCATTAAAAAGCTACATTAAGAAAGTTTATAATTAAAATTTGTAGTTTGATTTTGCATGTTACATTAAGAAAGTTTATAATTAAAATTTGTAGTTTGATTTTGCATGTTTCTCTGAAGCGGAGCACATAGAAGATCTGACATAAACATTTATAAACAAGTGGGAGAAAGACAAACGGGATCAAATGAGGCCCAACTTAAAACAAGCATAATTGTTGATCCATAAAGAATTTTGAAGCATGCGATATATCAACGGAAATGTATCAACGGGACCAAAAGAGGCCTCATCTCAAATTCCACTGTTTAGGCACCTAAATCTCCGTTTTCCTTAATTTTTGAATGATTCTCATTTTTATTTTATTATGTTTTAATGATAGATTATCCGTTTCCCTTAACTTCTGAAATTCTCTTTCTTATTTAGAAGGTTAATTATTAGAATTAATTTCCGATTTCAGTTTTCCAAAATTGGTAGTGTCTGCCAAATTTAGCATCACCCTTTATAAAGGGTTCTTGTAAGCCTTTAAACCATCTTGAATTTCAGTAATAAAATACTTTGAGTTTCTCTATATTATTTGTTTTTCTTTTGCGTCAATTGGTATGAGAGCATGTTTGCATCTTGATGGCAAATGGCGTTGAAGGTGGTCCACAACCAAACCCTAATGGTGGGGGTCGCACGGTTGAGGATCTTTGGCAGACAGTTGATGCTCTCACAGCCCAACTCATAGAACTACGCGTCATAATCGCAGGTGATCGTAATGGCTAAGAAAATAACGGGGTTGGCAATAATGGCGGTAATCAAAGACAATACCAAGATAATAAATTAGTGATGGTTTCATCATCTGCCTGGTTTTTATGAAAGAAAGAACAAGAAAAACGGTCTGTATAAATGTCGAACCATGAAAGGAAAAAAAAAACGATTTCCATAAATGTTTGCGTGTGTTTCTTTCTCGACTCAAGAAAAAACTTTTAATTTTTTTGGACTTTGTTCAGAAAAAGAAAGGTTTATGGGTTCATCTTGTGTTCTTCGTTTTGAAAAGAGCAATGGTGAGATAAGTGAAAATAAAATATGAAAAGTTCTTGAATTTTTTTTTCTTGATCTGGGTTATGAAGGAGAGAAACAAAAGAGAAAGAGAGAAGGATGATGGTCAGGGAGGATTTGGGCTATTTCTTTTAAAATGTATATAATAAATAAACAAATAATAGATAAATTATAAAATAAATGAAAAAGAAATAGAAAATGGCAATATAGTCCTTTCATGTTTCACAAGGGATAAAAAAGTACAAATTTAAACTAATGATGGATGAAGCATGCAACTTTTTACGATATAAAAGATGAATCGAGTTAATTTTTGAAAATAATGACTGAACGTGCATTTTGGGACCAGCACGGTGGACGTTCATGTAATTTACTGTTAAAAAAAAAAAGAGAATTTTTTTTAGAACAACAAGTCTACTGTAACACCGTAAATTTTCAAACAAAATTTTCAATTTTAAATTACCAACATCACATATAATAATTTTCAAAATCTCAAGTGTCGATGTCATAACATATTTCAAAAATTGTTTTCAAAAGTAATTATCAAAATCCAGGATCCCCATTTGTGTCTCTTTTCTCTTGTGTGTACAATCAAGCCACCGTTTTCCCGCGATCCTGATAAAACCTGAAACATATAACACGGTAAGTACAAAGCTTAGTGAGTTCCCCAAAATACCACATACATATATTAGCCACTCGAGGCTATAGCTCTATACGACCTTCCAGTCAATGTGTCTCGGTGGGACCTTCTGATCCCACAACTCTAGTAGACCTTCCGGACCTACCATGACTTTCCTTCCGGCCCCAAACTCTGATTAGCTTCCGACCTTAACTCTGATTGCCTTTCGGCCTTAACTCTGTTGACCTTCCGGTCCCAAACATACGACATATACATAACACATAAAGTCACATAATTCATATCAATACATAAGACCTTCCGGTCACATATCACATAAAGTATCATATATACACATAATTACCATTCCAGGTAAGGTATAGTGAGAAGACTCACCTCGAATGATGAACAACCCCTATAAACGTTGTTGCTACGCACCAGCCTCTAACTCTGTACCAAACCCACAATTATCCCAATTAGGAACTAATTCCCAACTCTCGCTCATTAGGTCTAAAGGTAGTCCACTATCCAGCCCATCAACGACCTAAAACCCATTGACCCACCAAGGCCCAATAATAAATGGGCTCTCCTGAGGCCCAACTCTCTCACATCTAACGACAAGCCCAACTAAAGGGCCCAAAGCACATATATATAATCCTCTGGTCCAAGACTATATTGTAACAAGTCCAAACTCTAGGCCCAACACTCAAGGCCCAAAATGAGACTAAGGTACATTTTAAAACCATATGCAAATAATTGATTAATTATTTTAATAGTTCCTTATCATTACGTAATGAAATTTTTTACAGAGAAAAAAGGAAAGGAATGGAAAGAAAACCAAACAATAAAAAAGAAAAACAGAAAAGCTAAAACAGATCATGGAGAAGATGATGAGCAGTTTCAACCATTAAGAACAAGGGTTGCAACACAAAGCTAATGGAAAGCTGTAAAGATATTGAGCAGTGAACAGATAGCGTATGTAGAAAACTTAGGCTTGAGATCAGTTTTAAAGATATATATCAGCTTAAAAGACACATATTATAATATATGAACAAAAACAATTGAAAAATTCACAGTATAATTACATTTATATTATACATAACCAAATACATTAATAGGTTAATAACAGTTAGAAGATTGTAATTATACTTAAAGAAATATTTATCAACAAAAAATACAAATATTATAAATAATAAAAAAAGGAGAATTCACAGTTTAATTGGAAATAAAAAATAAAATTAACAAATAAAAACTCTAGTTCAGACAATTACATGTGAAAACAAGTACAGTTACAATACCATATTTACAATTAAAAAACTATTTATCATATTAGAAGACACATATTTTAATATATGAACAAAAACAATTGAAGATTCATAGTATAATTACATTTATATTATACATAACCAAATACATTCACAGATTAATAACAGTTAGAAGATTGTAATTATACTTAAAAAAACATTTATCAACAAAAAATACAAATATTATAAATAAAAAACAAAAAAAAAAATAAGAATTCACAGTTTAATTGGAAATAATAAATAAAATTAACAAATAAAAACTCTATTTCAAACATTTACATGTGAAAACAAGTACACAAATAAACAAAATCATATTATAATAACAGTTACAACACCATATTTACAGTTAAAAAACTATTTATCATATTAGAAGACACATATTGTAATATATGAACAAAAACAATTGAAAATTCACAGTATAATTACATTTATATTATACATAACCAAATACATTCACAGGTTAATAACAATTAGAAGATTGTAATTATACTTAAAAAAACATTTATCAACAAAAAATACAAATATTATAAATAAAAAACAGAAAAAAAAAAGAAGAAGAATTCACAATTTAATTAGAAATAATAAATAAAATTAACAAATAAAAACTTTATTTCAAACATTTACATGTGAAAACAAGTACATAAATAAAAAAAAATCAGATTATAATAATAGTTACAACACCATATTTACAGTTAAAAAACTATTTATCATATTAGAAGACACATATTGTAATATATGAACAAAAACAATTGAAAATTCACAGTATAATTACATTTATATTATACATAACCAAATACATTCACAGGTTAATAACAGTTGGAAGATTGTAATTATACTTAAAAAAAAACATTTATCAACAAAAATTACAAATATTATAAATAAAAAAAAAAAGAATTCACAGTTTAATTGGAAATAATAAATAAAATTAACAAATAAAAACTCTATTTCAGACATTTACATGTGAAAACAAGTACATAACTAAACTCTATTTCACAGTATATGTAAAAATACAAATATTATAAATAAAAAATAATTGAAAATTCACAAAAGAAAACCAATTCACATCTTAATAACGGATAGAACATCATATTCAGCTACGTAAGTAGTTTTTAATGTATAAGAATTAAAAACGGATTAAATTAATAACAGGCAGAAGGAAACGAGATACCTGCTTTTGATTCACCTTCCGTTGCAATATCGTCATCAGATTGAGCTAAAGATTGAACATGCAATTCATCTGTTCCTGATATGCTTTGAACAAACATCAGATCCAACTTAGAAGACGATGATTCTTCAGGTAACAATTCCATACAAACTCGTTATATATATGAAAATCGAACAGAATCAATCGATTCTATATAAATCGAAGGTCACGAAATATGAATAACCAATAATGTTTGAGGAATCTGAACGAAAGAATCTTGATGTACTGTGGAAAAAATTTGTTTTTTGCTTGATTTTGTTAATTACGGAAATACCCTTACAGACAAGATAATGAAAAATTTAAAATTGACAAAAATAACATGTTTAGTTAATATAATAAAAAACCTAATATTGCCTTATAGATAAAAGTTTCTTATGGTTGTTAATTATAAACTAAAATTAATTGGTTCTTAAGTTCTTAATCTTTTTTTGTTCTAATTTGAACCATATATATATATATATATATATATATATATATATATATATATATATATATATATATATATATATATATATATATATATATACACACGAGTGGGGTACCCGCGCGATGCAGCGACCATTAATATAGCGGCGATGAATGTTTTTTCGACAATTAGTATTCTTTCAATGATTCTTTTAAT